CTGTTATACAGCTAGCATTTCATGTCTGTCTTGCATCTGGGAAGATGCCCAAACCCAGAAAGAAAATATGCTTTGGGGATRTTGTGTGGTTAAGTGCTGTACAGTAGCTGCAAATCATGTCCCTCCCTTCCTGGCTGCAAACACTGAGCTTTGTACGGGATGTTCTACTCAGAACTATGAGSGTGAGATTACATGGAACACATCTAATCAAGAGCTGGATTCTCATCTATAAACATGACAGGTTTTCTTGGTAATCCCATCAATGTAGCCTTGGGCAAAACTTTTTTAATTCACATGCTGTTTTGTTTTGGCAAACCGGGAGGTGCTGATGGTTACTTCTTCATTTCCATAACCCCAAAACACTTTGTAAATTTTATTGCCCCAGTCAGCCACACTTAAAAAAGTGAAAATACTCTCATTACTAAAACTGTACYACTATACATGCACTTATAAATGGTYTGCCTTTATGCATAGYTTAGCAAGTGRGCTCTCACTGGGKGCTCTGTAGAGGTCTCCAGGATCATCTYGGCTGCACTGAACTACCTACCTCTGAGGAGCAAATATCAATGGTTGCCTCATTTCTCATTATGCTTAACTGACACTATCAAATACTAATTTTGGCACAAGCCYCTATAGCTAGAACATGCCTAAAGCTACATGCTGAATTATGGATCAAATCCATTGTGTTTGTCCAAAGACAAGAGGCAAAGTTTCTTATACAAACTTGGAACAGATGAAACCCTGAGAGCTGAACAGAGCAGACAATAAGCAGGGATGGTAAAGCTGTCAGTAATGATGCAGAAAATAAGGTTACACTAAATTAGTATCTTCTTTGGAAAATAGCAGGAAGATCAAATCAATATATTTCAGTAAGTGGAGATATTTTATATTGAATCATTATCTAATTGAGCATATTAATAAATAGTTATGTGAAAACCCCCACCAAATTAAAGAAAACAACTTGTCTGCAAAGAGTTTATTAAGGAKTTAAATTAAAAGTAATCTGAGAAATTTTCAACTTAAACAACTGCTTCAATCYTGAAGAAGTCCTATTTAGACTGGGAAAACCTCACCATTTTCCATGGGCAACTATGGGCCATATAGTCTGTCCTGAAAAGAAACTGCAGAGATCATGCTGTGCAAGTATCATGGCTAGTGCCAATCAACAAGGTAAGGGCAGACACCTTCCTGGTATGAGGGCTGTGGAATGGATGTGCCTTCTTCCTTACCCTGCTGGTGTCAGATCATGTCATATTTTCTGCTGGCAAGAACTGAAGGCTTTCCAGATCTTCACCATGCTGTAATGTCTCTGTAGCTTCTTGTAATTGCTCTATTTTGCTGAGAAACCAGAGAGAAAAGCAGGGGTTACACCAGGAACMCAGAAAGCCACATCTGAAGCAAACTGTATCCAATACACTTGAACAAAATGACAAAATTGGTTTACATACTCAGAAATAATTACTTGATATATCAGRTTCCTTTGAAAGCTTTTGAAAGATATTAAATATGTATTTGTTAGCTTTTTGATAAAGAAAATTACAGCACAAGAATAACTCATGCTGATTCACAAGCTGCTAGGTATGACAATAACAACAGCATAGACATTGAATGGAGAAAGRTTATAGGAATATGGTATTAAATAAAGCTTCTGCTGGAGCAGAATTATATKAGGATATAATGACATTTTCATGTAAGAAGAAAAAGCAAAGGGAAAAAATAAGAGTCAAGTCAAGCAAGACAKGTAATATCTGCAGAGACTACAATGCTGCCCCTGGGCATTCAGCWTTTTGTGGGCTGTAGCTGTTCATCATGATCCTAAAACCACAAAAGGAAAAYCAGTCTTTGTAATATTACATCACAGTGCATTTTCTTATATAAATGTAAGACAAATAGACATTTTTGATTAGCAAAAGAAATGAAACTGGAAAATAATRTTAAAGGAATATCAACTAGTAAAACCTGAAAAAAATCAATTTTCTGAAGCAAGAAACAAGGTGCCATATACACCTTGGTCTGCATCACACAATGGGAAGCAGTAGTGACTCTACCAAAATCTGAAATACATGGATGGCATGGAACTGCTGACAGGAGGATTTGGATCAGGCTACATGGTTTCTTTAAACATGCCTTTGCAGCTCTGCAGAGGGTGTGCAGTAATTCCTTACTCTGCCAGGGACAGGGAGGTATGTGCCTCCCCAGGCGCTGCTGATGCAGATGATGTCAGTGAGGTGGAATAATTGYTGAGGTACCTGTCTCATTCTATCTGTGCTAATGGAATCACTCAGGTGTTAATGGATTAAGACACTGCATACATGTACCACAAAATAGGCAGCAGCTGCTCAAAAATTCACACTGCATGTGTAATATCCTGGCAAAAGTGGAGAGATTCAATGTCTACTTGACCAAAAGTTATCATTTAAAGGTTTTCAGCCCCATGCATGCAAATACACACTAATGTAGAGACAATGCTCTTTCTGGACATTAAAAAARCCCAAAACCCAATCATACTACCTCCTGTGCTTTTAATGGGATTTTCAGCTTTGCAGTCAGTGAAGAGTGGAGAATGTCCTTACAYAGAGCCTGTATCTGCACTGCATAAAGCAGTTGTTTTGCAAAGTATCAAAAATACTTAGTAAGAAAGAAGATAACTTTCCAGATGCAAACAGTACAAAGATATTTATAGAAGCTAATGTTTGAGATAACTGGTATGATTTAATTCCTCAYGTTCTTAACCATTTCTGCATTTCCSAGTCTTTAAAATGAGCTAAATAAATCCACAGCCCCACAAGCCTGGCTGCACAGAAATTGTGAGTTTATTCACATTTTTAAAATACCATTGGTTGTCTACATTTACATACAGGCACTCAGGGCATTGCATTAAMCTCCTCCTCACACATTGTGAGACTTCCTGCATATATCCCTACCTAATGCACAAAAAGAAGATGGGGGAAAAAAGAGTGGAAACTCTTAAACAGACCTACAGTTTCAAAAACTCAGTAAAGTCGACAAGGTTAGTCAGAAATTTAAATTACATTCCTTTTTGGGCATGGAGTASTCAGCCCTGTCCAGGAAAATATCTGAATTTCAATGGCATTGCCGAGAAAAGTGAATTGAATTCTTTGTATCTAAGCCCTATCTTCAGATCACATCAGATAAATTCCTGAGGAGTTGTTTTATCATTCAGCAGAAGGGTTGCTGATACAAATTTTATCTGGAGTTTTGTCTGAATRCAAATTTCAGGCTTGTGAATTGCAAAGTCTGATGTGCTACAGATTTCCAGCCACAAGTGCAGTGCAAAAACTTCCAGCATAAAATACAATAAACRGCAAATTTGTTTTACAGTAAGAGCACAAGGAATWACAAAAATAGATATTTTTGGAACAYAGGTTGCTCCTAGATCTCAAATGTCATTTTATGTTGCAGGAAATAATGATGAGTTTGATGCACTGGGGACAAACAGAAGTAAAAAGAGAGAATGCAATTTTAAAGCACTTCACTGTATTCAAGAGATTTAAAAAACATATACCTACACTGTGTGAGTTAAGAGGTGATTTAGACCTAGTTTACTGAGCAATTTACTCTTAAAAAAATTTCTGGAACATCATTCATAGAAGGAACATGCTTGAGACCACATTAACATGCAGTTCAAACCACTGYCATCAGACTTTTGCTATCATTTCTTCAGGTATGGTACATGCAAGGCTGATTCTTATTAAGTGTTACTCTTTCATATGCTGTGACAAAAGGCAGCACTCTGCTCTTGYCAGGATGTACACAGAGTGAAACAAACACTATGACATGAAAAACAGAAGGAAAACTATGGTGAGCTGTTCACATCTCATGCTGAGGAAATAACACTAACTTATTTCAGGTTCTCTCTACAAGCAGGCAGGACAATACAGATTGGCTTTTAAGTGCAGACCAAGACTTTTTAACTTCAATCCCAGGCAGATCTGCAGTTTAATTTGGATAAAGATTACAAAGCAATATATAAACAGTAGCATTGATCTGCTTGTAATGAATTTATTTTTATTTCTACTATTATAAACCGAGTAAAAATGAATTCTTTCTTTTTGGTTACRTGTTTCTTTCCATGTGTATCTGCTGACACTTAAAAATCTGAGAAAATAAAAATAAGTCTGAGAAAACTGAGAAGCTAAAACAATTCTAGAATAAAGAAAAGCTTATGTAAGAGTTCTTCAATACTTTTCTCCTGAAGCCTGGAGAATTCAGGCATACTGTTCTTTGCAGAGGCACAGTCATACATTTTAAAGAAAAGCAAGTTGCCACTACTATTTTATACTATTAATTTCTACTTTTTCACTTCTTAAAAAAAATAAATCTTGTTTGCAGAAACTTCTATCCATTTCATAACATGTGCCTCTCCTCGAGGACAAAAGGTGCTTGATTGCTCAGGATTGAATTTCTGTTAAGTATTGTTAGTTTYAAAACAGACAAGGACTGAATGCATCTTGAATACAAAAAAAATAGTGACGCCTGTCAATTAAAGGGAGTAAAATAAAAATCCTGCTTACCTTTCCATAAACAACAGTTTTGATTAAAAAAAAAGTAGTATAATCTAGTATATAACACCCATTTAACATTGCATTTATTACGATTATGTTATCAGAACRGACAAACTTAAATTTCAGGTAGTTTGTTTTTAACTACAGTGAAATCACCTTAAACATTTCTGCCGTACACTTCGCCACCTTATGATCATCAAGTATGCCATCATCATTTGGGGATACACAAGATACCAAAGTCAACAACAGCTCTTAATTAGTAATTAATGCTCAGACCCTCTTATGGAAGAAGAGTGGGAGAAAATAGGGCTACATTACATGTCATTATGTTTACATAATGTTTACTTAGGAATGCAAAATCCRACCCACTATGATATCACAGGTTATTGTACTGATCAATCTTTCAAATGACACTAGCTCTAAAAATACTGTAAACTGATTGATATCTAGCAAGATTAAGTGAAGACCAGACACTTACTTCTGCAGGCATTCCAGTTCTGAGGGCAGGTCACAACCTATATAAACCCTGTTTGTTAAACTGTATTCTAACAGGGCACAAAAGCAGGGATCCTACAAGAGAAGATGATTATGTAATTATAATCATAGTGCTCTGCGAAGTAAGTTTTCAAACAAATTAACATGGCACAGGAATACAAGAGATTTAATAGGACTGCTTCCAGAAACAGAATTCTACAAATGGTGCAAACATGGTGTAACGTGTCAGAAAGATACCTGAAGCTGCTCAAAATTCCCTATATTACATGTAGGTGTAGGGAACTAAATTTTTATTCAGACCACTTCTAGAATACCATTTTCCTTTTTGTTCGTGAAGTCAGACATAAAATGAGATATTAAGACAAGCTCAGCTTACTCCCATGAAAGGACCATGCATGACCTCCTCCCTGGCATTTGTTGAATGAGTTGGTAAAATTCACTTCTCCCACTGTCCATTAAAAAAGTCAAGCAACTAGATTTTGTGAAGAATCTGATTGTGTGAGGTTATTYGGAACATGCTCACTGGACTTGTGTGCTGCTGGAGAACTTTAGAGGAGATCAGAGCCTTCATGCTGGAGACAAGAGGGAGCTAGGAGTATGTATGCAYAGAGTACCATTTCCTTTGAGCTTGGAAATTACTGTGTGTGCCTGAACTGCTCATTTGTATGGGAACCCATGGAGTTCAGATACTCCCAAATACAGACCAAGGACAACATACAAATTCTTAACATATTCTGATGCACCCTAAATCGTAAAATCATTCAATTGCTGTGGCAAATAAGACATGCAATTCAAATATATAAACCAAAACTTACTTTCACAAGAACGTGAGGATTTCCCACGACAATCAGCAAAGCTTTTGCTCTAGTAATTGCTACATTAAATCTCTTTGGGTTACAGAGAAAGCCCAAACAGTATTTTTCATCATCAATTAAAACCTTCTGAGATCGCACCTAAAATTAATTATAGATAGTTTTAGAAATAAAATAATGAGAATACAACATACTGCAGTGTAACTTTACCAGAGTATTTCCTTACTGCAACAATCCACTAAGTTAAATGACAATTCACAATGTGTCTTTTCTGCATGCCTTCTGGAGTAGTCTCATCAGTGTGCTTTGACTTAGCTTTTCAATCCAGCATTGGATTTCTCTTAAAGGAGTTCTAGTATGGGCTGTGCTTTTATTTATAAGAGCTCATTATTTAGGTCATTAAAATTTTCTATTTTCAAAGGTAGGTTCAAATATAGATGAAATAGAGGTGAAAAACTAATGAGTCATAGTTGCTTGGCTGTTTTTGATAGCTATGACATAATGTGGAACAGCAAAAGTAAGCCCAGTACCACCAGGAAAAAAAAAAAAACAAGCAAGAAAACCCCACTGACTCTTCCTCCAAGGTACAAATGTGAGTACTACTAGTATGATTTAAACAGAAAGCAACATATTTTTAATAATCTAGATTTYAAAGAGAAGAATAGCTCCACATGCATGCACTTAATAAGCTCTGCTTTCAAACACTGTGACAGACTGTTAATAACAATATGGCTTCAAGAATGTTTTTAAAGGCCTATATCAAAAAGGAAACAGAGAGAATTAGACATAYGTAAAAATTCTCTATATGACCACAGTAAATATACATACTGTTGATAAGATGATAACCATGTATTCCTGCCCTTGAAACTCTTCTACTGTGCCGACCTTTATGTCTCCTAAATCAATACTTCTGAGAAGAAATTTAATTTTTTCCACCTACCAAAAAAAAAAAAAAAGAAAGAAAATGTGTCTGAGGGAATTTAGTTTTACATTTGAGAGTGGATTGTTTTAAAACCACATATCATCACATATACATGTATGAGCTTTAACCTGGAAAGGTCGAAAGGAATGACTACACCAAGCTTAGCCATCATCCACTAATAAGACTTTAAAATAAAACAGTAACTTTTTCWACAAGAAAGTATCACATTAATACACAACTTAGAAGGTGAAGGAGTACTCTCTACCTTAATTTGAACAGAAGGYGAGATACTTTTAATAGTCCAGAAATTTAAGAGAATAACTTAGATCCTTAAATACTCTTTTTCCGATGTGCATCATATCCAAAGCCATGCACATCACAGATGTGGCAGAGCAAGCAGCTTCCCTTAGCCCTTCAAATAACAGGTGTATCATACAGAGTAAAACCAGAGGTGAGATGATCTTAAGTACTCTCCCAAAAGAGTRAGAGAACAAGGAGTCTCAGGCAGTGGGATCCTGGTACATGTAGGATTGGTGTACTGCCACATGCTAAAACCTGTTCAGACGTTATAACTGAAGTGCTTCAGAAGGATTAAGAAGAAATCATGCCTGACTAAGCTGAACATCATGGTCAAAGACTACTTTCTAATCACTGTTCCTGCATTACAAAGACTTTCTTAATGTGGACATTACTATCATATACCTTGTATCATAGGCAAATGAAGGACACAATCCCCTTAAATCACGTGAAATCATCATTTAGGGAGYGCGAGAGATTCAGCAGTACAAACACATATTTGAAAAAACAAATAGTAACTGTAAACACAGGCAGGTGCATACACCTGTGATGGGTACCATCAAAGCTTTAATTTGCAAGTGAGATTTCTTCACAAGGGCTTGGTCTTTTTCACACACCTCAGTGTTTCCCCCAAGCCACGTATGCAAGGTTATGAATACTGAGATGTGAACACCAAGAAGAATTATGTGCACTGTCCAAAATCTCTGCAACTGAAGGGGGATTATGGTTATTTTTTTAAATTAAAGCAAACATCACATACTTAACACATCTGGATATAAATACATTCAAAAATAAAGCACAGCATTTGAAGTTAATGTTCAGCATTCTCTAGAGGTTTAAATAGCAGACCAAATTTGACTAGGGGACAGCTAGGAAGTCATAATGATTGTTTCCTCTAGTCTTCTCAAGGCCACAAGAACATGCCATGTAACCTACTTCACAATAATTCCCTTTTGTTCCAATCTTCAGTGCAGAGTGACAGAATCAGATTGCTGGTCCAGCTGTTGAACAACAAATTCTCGACTTTCACTCTTCACTTCAGAAAACTGAAAAATCTGCTTCTGTTTCTAAATCWGTCTCCTTACTTGCCTGATTTTTAAAACTAAAAAACTCGTCGAATGCCATTATTGCTATTTTTCTCTAGGTTAAGATTTCAACAGCAGCATCATTAATGATTGATAAAACACTGTGTAACATGACACATAATAGTGTGTCAAAAATTTTGACATATGCCCCCCTGCTTGAACAAACCACAGCCACCATATAAATACATGAGATAAAATACAGCAACTTTGAAACTCTAAAGATATCAGAACTGTTAAACATTATACCTGTTTACGATATGGTGCAATCACTCCAATATCTGTCACTGATACTGCAGAGTTTTCACTTTTGGCCAGCTGGCAACAGTATTGCATTACTTGAACTGCTTCAGTTGGATTAAACCATGAAGGACTGCGGCCTTCACGTGTTTCATTGCCCTGTATTAGGGGAAAGGAAATGCACTGATGGAGAACAAGTGGCAAAATGACTGCATATTAATAAATAGATTATTCTTCTACCTCTTGGATGCAAAAAAAGTGATGGACAACTAWATATAATGTCTCTTGCTCTCCATACACCTTTTCTAATGAACWAGTATCATCTCACACTTAATATTTTTTTATACATTTAAAAACATAATTGGTATGATAACAGTATTTTCAGTGTGCAACAAAGGGGTTAAATCTCAACTCAGAATAACATGTATTAACAAACTGGTATCTTGCTTTTGTGCAAGGTGGAAGAGTTCAAAACCAAGCCTCTCCAAGCAGCAGATATTGCCACTTCTTATTAACTTTTGGAAGACTAAAGAAAACTCTTTTTACCCCTGCCAAGTTTAGCCCTAATGATCCTTTAGATTTAGAGGCTTTTATTCATCTTAAGGCAGCAAACTCTCATCAAAAGCAATCTAAAGCAGCTGATGGTATCCTGGTCATCTGCCATGAATTTAAACTTGTATGAAAATGTCCCCATGATGCTCTTCAAGAGGCAGCTGCTTAAGTTCTTAGCAAACATTTGACTTCAGTAGCTGTTTCTAAAACCAAATGGTCAGGAAGTCCCATTACTTGGAAAAGACAGTTTAATCTTTTTTCATATCCTTTCTAGAATTTATTCTAAAGAAAACTTTTCTACAACAYCAGCAAACTGCTAGCAAGCCTACATTGTTCACTGTATGAACATTTTACATACCCTTATTCCATGAAAAATGAATGGAAATCCCTTCCTGGGCAATTTCCCCCAATTCAACAAAGAAGTTACTACTGAAGTATCTGCACAAACTTCTAGCTCCTTATGATAAAACAATTTAGAKGGCAAGGCAAGTAACGCAGAATGTGACCTGTAGTTCTTTGTGAGTTTTGTGATCTGCAAAGACAAAAYCCAAAATCCGTAAGCAAAACAGGTRACTCATCAGACTTCCCAGAACACAGCTCCCAGATACCTGACCATCCCCTAGCACATAGCATTTCTAAAGCTGCCAAAGAACTGCATTCAAGGCAAAAACTGCAGGTGTGATCTTCTGTAAGTAAAAAGTATATCAAAGCAGTTTCTTGAAGGACCATCTCCTTCCCCTCCAAAGGAGAAACAAAGAGAACTGAATGTATATGACAGATAAATCTGTCATTCTCCAGTTTCTTAGAACATTTGATCCATAGGCACATTCTTTTTTTTTTTTTTTTTAAGAGTCAGATTATTTCCACGGACTTTCCATGGATGTAAAGTGTTCTTTTGAAAGTCTTGATAGGCAAAAAGGGAGCATCAGAACAGCTGATAGAAGCTGGCCTTAAGACACCTGAAATGTATTTGTCTTTGAATGAAGGAGTAGTTTTAAAGAAGCATTCCAGACAGTAACAAACAGCTCCAAAAAAAGTCCTGTAAAAAGAGTAACAGGATATTCCATCTGGAATGCGTCCCTCAAGCCCCCARACTTCCTGCTCTTTTACTATGCCAATTCTCCTTAAGTGCTGTATTTAGAACACAACAAAGTTTGTGGTAACAGATTTTAGGAGGAAGTGTGACAGGTTTTTCAGCATCTGCCATCAGGTTTCCTCTCTTCTCTACTCCCATGGTTATCTAGTCATCTTTTGCTCTCAGTTTAATTCTTCAGAATATGTTATCAAGAGAATAGCAAGCATCTTWTGAAGCCTAACATCAGCCCTATTTTTCAGATCGAGACAGTAATTTAAAGCAGTTCAAACACCTGTACTTATTTAAAGACGATGCTACCTCTGCCACTTAACACAGACATTAGGTACTTCCCCATACAAGAGTCTGGRGAAGCTGTCCTTCAGAGAAAGAGATAATAAAGAAACAGGAATAGTTTCTGTCCTTCCCTTCCTGAAATACAATGTTTGCAAAATTAATCCTTAACGAGGAGACTCTGTTTGCCTTTTAATGTTAAAAGCAGAAATTGTACTTTTTCATCTGTAGAAAATTAGGTTATGAAATTATGGTAAAAGTGGACAATGAAGATGAAAGGGATTTCTAAGTTATTATTTACAACTGCATTTTGAGCACCGTATTTGACTTAAAAGAATAGACAATCCCTTCAAAGAAAAGTTTTAACATGCTGGAGGGCTGAACATCCTTACTCTTCAGACTATGAAAATGAATCAAGCTTTTCTAGAGAACTAATGCTCAAGCTAGACTTGTCAATATACATCAGGGAGCTAAGTGGTGGTAAGGAACCACACCTTCTTTTTTGACTGAGATGAAAAAGGTTAATAGAAAGTTTAACTCACCAACAAGGGATTATATGCTCCACAGGCACCAAAAGCATCCTCATCTCTCAGATATAGCTCTCTTGATGACAGTCTTTCTAGCAAGGACATACTTAATCCAAAATTCTGTGCAAGTTTAGATTTTATTGCTGGCCCCAACTGCTTTGGATCTCCAACCAGAATTATCTTTATATGAAATTAAAAAAAACCCCACCATATTAGATTAAAACAATTGTTATTGAAATTTCATATTTAATGACATACACATTTCAGAATTCAGAGATCATATCAAATATTCTGCTTTCCTTCAAACATTTGTTTGCAAAGGACAGAAGTATGTTGTGCTCTTAAACAGAATGCATATTTTATTTTGGTAACTTCCACACACTGAATCAATCTTACTAACATAGACTTGTTTTAGATGAAAAGAAATTTGTTTAAGTGCTGGGAATTGATATGCATGAATAAGATCTATTACAAATACTCATTACCAGAAAATGGATGCTTGCATTCTACATCATTCACAAAAATGAAAATAATAAACAAGCCTTTTCTCTTTCAGTAAATGGGATMTTAAGAGATGTTAAGAGAACTACCTGTCCATCAGCTTCTGAGATCAACCCAATAGGAATCAGACTCTCTGGTTCACTTGCTTGCCCTGCCTCATCCAGAATCACGTGAGTGAAGTGTCCAAGCCTATAATTAAATAACATTAACCTGAAACAGGGCTGTTTTCAGGTTAGTTCATTCTGCCACCCTGTGGTTGACCTCAGCAATTCTGTTAACATCCTTGTCAACTGTGCCAGGTAACCCCATAGACACAAAGCAAAGATGTACATTTCTAAAGGGAAATACAGAAAAAAGCAACCCCTTAACGTTAATTTTTCATCTTTGATTTCACTTATGTACTCTGATAATAACAATCTTTTATTAAAGCATTCTTTATATCAAGGTTAAGATACTTAGAAAAGCTTCCCTTATTCTCAATTTCCTTGAGCTATTGAATTAAAACAATGCWCTTGGTGTAGCAAAGACAATCCCTAAGCTTTCTTTCTGCCAAACAGGTTGAGATAGTAAGTCTTCAGAGTATACTTTTACAAATTTAAAATCCAACTCAGAGACGTCCTTAATAGCACTTGACATGATAGTTTACAATTAGTAAAGGTGACTTGATAAAAGCCAAACAATAAATTTTCAGTGTGACAATAATTTTGAGCCAAAGTGATTGTCAAGAGCAATATAATTTACACCGGTGGCAGAGGAGAAGTTATAGTTTCAAAAATCTTACACATGACTCGAGATAATTCTTAAATTCTTTCCATGGAGAAAGTTTCTGCTGTAATATTACTAAAACCAAGTGGCTTGCTGTCTGGCACAAACACAGGCACATGCAATAAACCATTAAAACAGCCCAAATTACAGTTCAGACAGTCTTTAAAAGCTCTGGGTTTTGTGTCATTCAGCCATTTCAGTGATATTACAATCTGTAATACTGTACCGAGTATCTGTTTGATACAACAATCCTGCACTGCTGCATGTTGTAATTACAATCCTGGACCACAATGCTTTCTGAATATCATCACCATCTTTGCAGTAAGGTTTCACCATGTCATCAATTTGCTGCAGAAAGGTAAAACAAAATGCCCGCCTAAAACACAACTTCTTAATTTGCATAGAGAAACTCTCTGAAAACTATTTTAAAAGATGAGCAAAACACATAGACTTAGACCCATYCATACATCAAAATTAATTAATTAGCCTAAGCAAAGTAGTACATATGCAAGACATCTGTGCTTTACTGTATGGATCAAAATGGAACACTTGGATATTTCATATACATATCTATATATACACACAMATACATATATGYGTATATAAACATATATACACACATACACTATAAATATATATGTAYATATGTAATGAATCCACAATATCTGTGTCATCTGCATAGAGATGACAATCCTACTTGCTGACTTTCCATGTAAGTCATCTTAACTTGAAGTGATAAAATGACAACAAAATCAAGTAAAATAAAAATTCCACACCAATATCTATTTCCTGCTTGTAGAGTCAAGCACTGCAAGAAAGAGATTAAGATTCTAAGCTCGTACAATCAAGTTAAGGATTATGATCAACATTTTCCAGTTAATCTTCTGGAAAAGCTGAATCAATGTAATACTTTGTATCCTACGCAAGCCTAAGCAGCTTAATAGCCACTGAGAGTTAAAATACTAATCAATATTTTAAGGTAAAAATATTAAAATGGAAATATTAAGTGGCAGGTATCAGTAATATTTACCTCTGCTGACCTGAAGGCAGCATTAACTCGGACCATCATTCCTGGTTTTAATAGATTGCTTTGATGCAGCCGCAAGCAAATCAGATCTGTTGCAGCATTTGAGGGTGCACATACCAAAATCCGACTGTCTGGGAGAGTAAAATGTATCTACATTAAAAAAGACAGATATAAAAAAAAAGGTTACTTAAGAAGCAGCAATAGCTCAAACATTCCCATTTTATTTCACTGAATACAGAACCCAGAAGAGCTGTGCACATACATGATACTCATTCTTCTGCAGTTCAGCAACATCCCTGTCAACAGTCATGACTAAGCACTCTCAAACTCAGGGTAACCACAACAGAATTAATTCATGGTTATCATATTAATATATACCTGTACTTCATGAAAACCTTAGGGACTACTGGAATCACAAGGTAGACACTTAAGTTTTAAAGACAAGAGGACTTCAAAATAAGCAATTCATAATTCTGTTAAATCCATATGACAATGGATTTTCCTCCTTCAAAAAGCTATAGAAAACGATTTAAAAAAGAGTATTTTGAAAACTCCTTGGGAAAAAATATGATGGTACTTACAGAAATACCATAAATGAACCAACATGAAAAAGACTAGAGATGACTGGGTTGTCATTCACCATTACCTGTAAAATAACTTCAATTACTGTTACTGTTTTTCCAGTTCCTGGTGGTCCAAAGAGAAGATAAGGTGTTGGGCGACATTCACCACTCAGTATTCTTTTCACTGCCAGTTTCTGTTGCACATTCAGCATAGGATTGAAAAATTCACCATCTCYCTGTTTAAGTGCCACAGTTTCACCAACTATAATCAAGACAAGCGCATCTCAGAACTTCACATGTATATTTTTAACATAWATAGATTAAAGCAATTCCAATCCACAATATGCTTCTGCAAACTTTTATTTTCTTTTTGTGGGAACAGCTAATGAATTTCCCAAAAATTCAGTTTTCACAGAATACCAAGTGGAAAAAACCCACTAATATTTCCAAAGGGTACTGGCTCTTTATTGAAAGCCAGAAAAAGACCATGATTACAACCAACAATCCATAAAGACTCTATTCAGTAATTTCAGCATCAAGCTCACCTAATTGTCCTAGAACAGTAAAACTAGAGAAACTTCCAGCAACCAGGACTTCGGGGATGGTACCAGTACTGCATGATCAGTACTATGTTACAACTATTGGAATTTTTTTCTTAAACCTGTCTGAATTAGTCTACCTTTAGCTTTCCACAGCAGAACCTTACTAACCCTTGGACAGAAGTGCATTCAATATTTCTTTGGTATCCTATTGATAAGAAATGACACTATCACCCTCTTAGGCATTTCAGTACACTGATATTTAAAGTCACACTTTCCAAAAAYGCATAGGAATAATCTGGGATATTTGAAAAAGTTTGGCATCTTAGCAAAGCTTTCCCAAAAATGAGAGACAGCAACCCAATAACAAACTGAAAAATCTGAATATGACCAAAAAGTTTTGAGTAAATGACTGAGAAATGACAATTTATTCATTACAAAATTTATCATCAGATGCTTGCTACCCCTTCCCCAAAAGTGTTCAAGGCCAGCCTGGATGGAWCTCTGAGCAACCTRGTCTAGTGGAATTTGTTCCTGACAGTGGCAGAGGGGCTGGAAATAGATGATATTTATGCTCCTTTCCAACCCAAACCATTCTAGGATTCTGTGAATTAGAGATCTTTAGGTAATGCACCAAAAGCCTCCATAGAAACCTCCTGCTAGTAGTTCTACAATTTGTCTTTAAAAGACAGAGCACAAGTACATCCTTAAAGCTATCTTACTCAGCCTTAATTTACTGATGTGATACTTTATATTCAAGCACACAAAACATATCCCCTCCCTTGATGTCATACCTTTTGTCTGTTTGCTCTGCTTTTTTTTGACCTGAAAACAACAAGTAAAGATAAATACATTTATAATCTTAAGAAGACAGGCAACTATCTTCTCTAATATTTTTGAAGTTGCTAAGCTTTATTTTTGTTCCCATTAAACAGAATATCTACTGTTAAAACAGGAAGGTTAAGAGTAGTGGAAGAAGGTGTCAGGAATTMATGTTAAATTTAAGATTTCTCATAGTTTGGCACTATTAACATTAAGCTTTTATGTCACAAATATTTTGCAGGCTAAGATGAGGATTTTGAAGCCATGAATAAATAACTTGTTTGCTTCCACAAAAGCAAACAGTCACATTCCACACCACTAAGATGCATGGATAAATGCTTCTTCTGTAGTGGAGACGTCCTTTCAGACTGCAGCATGGGAGAAAACTGCTTGTAGGGAATGTGGTGTTCTTTAAGGACAACATGCCTCAATTATCTTAATAATACTGACTTCAATCCAGATTGATTGAGTACTCCTTTTTGTACAGGACAAACTRCAGCTGAAAGTATTAGAGTGTTAGGAAAAAACCTTGAATGTAAAGGTGGTGAGGCAMAGGTTATGCAAATGCTGTGAAAACTCTAGACAGAAGAAATGCTGCCCACACGCCCTCAAGGTGACTTTATTTAGTGTTGGTAACAGTCCTGCTTCAAAAACTAGGCAGTCTCCTGAAGTCCTTTCTAAGAAAATTTTCAACATTTTATTAATGTAAGTAGCAGTTAAGAAGCCTGGGTAAACCTACTTTAGAACAGGATGACTACCTTCTACCATTAAATTATTTCTTTCCTGCCACAGTGACCAGACTTGAGTATCTACCCAACAGTAGCTATGAAAACTAGTCTAAGGCAAATCTGACAATTTCCATCACAATCACACTTTATTAATAAGTACTTTCCATTTTGTTAGCATTATAGTATCAGTGATCATAAAAACCCCCATCTCCAGGCAGSAAACAAAAACTTCTGTCATCAGAATGCAGCAGAATACACCTTTGATTCTTTATATGCAATTTTTTTTCTGGCAATAGGTGTAAGGTACGAATCTGTTAACAATATGAACATTTACAGAACTGATACCTTACTTTCCTGTTGTGAAGATTGTTTAAGACCATCATCAGCAGCACAATACTCTGTAGTATTCTGGGACTTGAAAGCTTGTGGTGATTGTAACACAAGCTTTTCTGGAAATAACACTGCAAATTTAGCAGAGAAAAAGAAAGTAGAGAAATTTGAAAGYCACATAAACAATTCGCATGTTTCACTGATTAATGCTAGTGTTGATACAACAGCTTACTCTGAGTTGCCAAAATTGGTTTATCAGAACTAATGTTGTAAAGACTTACATATGGAGTTCATATGTATCATTCAACTCAAGCACAGAACAGGAAATCATTGTTTTTTAATAAATTCTAAGGTAACACAAAACATGGCCATTTCACTGGTTACTATTACAGCAGTATGATTCCTACATTTCTTGCAGACTCAAACAGTCCACAAAAGTTTGCTTCCACTCCTCCTATCTGTGATGGCAATCAGATGAAATAATTTTGACAAAAACCTTTCTCTACATTCAGCATTGTTYTTTTATTCTTAAAAACAAAACCGAACTAAAAAAAACCGCAACAACACATGGAAAACTCCTCTAAGAACAAATGACAATGCATTCTCAGTACACCCTGATATGAAAGAATAAAACCCACAAGACTGCACAAAAACTCTTGGTAGACAGCTTAACAGTCAAATGAAATGTACCTTTTTCACCCAAGTAGAGAGCTTGCTGAATAGCCAACTGGCATCGCCTGCTAGGAATCCTGTAACCGAAATACATTCTAGATTAGAGTAAAAGCTTACATTTCCATATACTGTGACAGCACACACCTATGAAGTATCTGATACTTTTTACTATGCATACAAAAAAGGAGCTTTATATAAAAAAATTGTACTTTAAAAAAAAACATCTTTTGAGAAATATGCTGCAGAAGTATAAACAACTTTGATACAAATAATATTGATACACATATTCTCTAGCTTTCCAGTGATACAAAGATGGCCAGATGTTCAACRGTTTCTCAAGGAACTTCTCTGCAAGGCTGAATTTACAGAGAAAATGACATAACTCCAAACAGATAACATCTCATGAATAAAACAGMAGTGTAGAAGAATGTGTGATTATCACCAGCTAATTTTTTTCCTGCATAGTCTTGCAGGAAACTGTATTGCAGGAATACAATATTACTGTATTTTTTTCTTAAAAAAAACAAAAACAAAACTAATAAAAATAAAAATACCTCCAAACACCCATTCCCCCTCATTTCACTGACAWCAATGTGATTATCTAGAAATTATTAAGGTACCAAGTCTTTGTACACTTGTACAGTTGCAGTCTTAACAATGAATATGATGGCAAAAGTGTGTTGAGGGAAAGAAGTGGAAGAACTGGCATGATCTTAATTATGTCCTTCTCTGTATTCACCAAAATAAACAGCTGATGGTCATATTTTAAAAGGCACTTTACTCGTAGAATCATTAAATGCAGCTTTTTGGAAACTTGTAAAAACACCTGCAATGAACAAATTCCACATCCATGGGTTCCAAGTTGTAAGTCCGTTCAAAGTCCACATTAACCTTCAGAGTAACATCTTCATCATGTATCTGTTACAAAGATAAAAAGAAGTCAGGATACTGGTGAAGACTTAATACATTAAAGATAAAGAAGCACCTCTGAAAGCACCGAATCCCCCACCAACTCCAAACAGCACATCTAGATTTACCTACTATCAATTAGATTMTGTTAAAAGCGCTTTCAGACCAGGCAAAGATTATAATCTCAAAAGAATAGGGAAGCCAGAGTCTTCAAAAATACAATAAAAATACAAAATAACTATTTAAAATATAGATAAAATAAACTTAGCTTATCAGATGTCAGGTTAAACCAGTCTGTAATTCCATGAATTGCAAGYTTCCCTTATGAAGCCTGTTGACCCTGGCATTTTCGAGAGAAGATACAGTTCCCTTACCTCAGCAACATAGGCAATGTACTCTATTATATGCTCCGAGTAGACTTGACTTTTCAGTATCACCTTGTCACCTGATTGTAAACAAAGTTAAAAGGTAAAATACTGTTACAACAAAGAGTAACATATTCACTACAGCATATATTTTTTTCCCTTCTGTATTTTTAAACTAGGAATTTGCAAGAGACTAACTTTAGCAAAGTTGCGGTATACATCAGCTCTGAAATGCCATAGGTAGCTGTATATCACATTTTAAAAGGCATCTAATATTGATGCCATCAAACAACACTTCCTGAAAACACTAATTTTTATATTACTTGAAATTCTGAATTTAAATTTAGCTACTTGTCCAGCTTTTTTTCTACACTTACTGCCTTTTATGCCATTACCTCATTGCAGTTTATTTTTGCTGAAAGYTCCACTAGTTACCGTACAACAAAATCCTGAAGTATAGAAACATCTGTAAGAACTTAAGAACTGACACATGCAACTGTTCTGGATAGCAGCCACTTTAAGACTGAGACACACAGCATTTCCCCTGTCTAGTAGCCTAAATAAGTAATGCTGTGCTCAGATACGTGCAAGATTTGTTAAACAAATGAATAAACAATAGTTTGCATTGTCGTGAAAATATTGATCAACATGCCATTTGATTTTATTTCACATTCATATTTACCTGGAACCAAGCGAGGTCTGCCCTCTTCTACTCCTGGCACTTCCAGCACTAACAAGTTCCCATTCCTTTTTAAAGTAACCCCACTCATGTAGTAATCCTTTAAATCCATTTCTGCTTGGATCTCTTCAAGCCATAAAAGAGTAGAAAAGTTTGCTTTATAATTACTTAGATTAAGACGCTGGAAAACAAAACAGTATACATTATTGTTGTACACTAAGATATGGAACCCATTATTGATAACGTTATACAGAACACCTCTTCAGACTGAATGCACAGCAAATGGGTTGCCAATTAAGACACCTAAATACACACAACCATACAGTATAACATTTTAAACTCCCTCAAGAGCCAAAGCAAAATTAGTATAGTCCTTGAAGCTCAAATATAATAGCCACTTAACTAAAGAGTTAACCAAGTCTCTCCCTACTACAGTGTCAGTTTCAACATCTGAATTCAGGCACAGTCTACAAATTGAGTTCTATGCTCAGTCCATGTCCAGAAAGCATAAAATCTAAATACATGGACTGAGACAGTTGAAAAGAGAGAGTCATGTCAGTCTCGGCCCTGGATGATTATTATACCATTTATGGCAAGCTAAAACAACCTCAATTTTCTCCCGCAGAGCTTTATGAATCTCACTGCACAGGTATTCTCCAACAGTACCAAGTTCTATCTAAACTAAGATAGCACAGAACCATCTCATTCAAAGACAAATGAGCAGAACTTTCTGGTGCAGACCTGTAAGTCACCAGTACTAGCCAGAACTTAAGGTGTGGTTGAAAAAAGAGTAACCACTAATGGCAGGCCTCCAGTGTAAAATTATTTTAAACAGTACAGAGCTTTAYCTTTCTTCTGAGAGAGGATCACTAACCTATTAGCTTAAAGCTGTGACCTCAGGTTTTGTGTGAGCTATTCAGTCAGCAGACAACATAGCCTCTTACATTTCAAAAAACTCTCAGCCCCAGTTTATRAGTACTTAAAAATTTACTATGAAARAAAGATATTAAGTGAGTTGCAGCAGTGTTCTACCATAAACTGGGGCAAAGTTTTGGACAAAGAACCAGTGTAATATTCTTGTTCAGGCTTAATAGCTTTCTTGGGGGTGTTCTGTATGTATTCTGAAACTGCTATACTTGGGGGAAGAATTTGAACAAGCTATATTGAATTAAATCTGTAGMTGTTTAAGAAAACAATTTTGAACAACCAGAAGAGAATCGTCTGCTCTTCCAATAATTTAAGAGATTGTGCTTTTATTTCCTATGAAATAACACTTGTTCCAATACCTCAGAAATCCTTTCCAGTGATGCCCAAAAAGTGAGAAAATTTTGTTTAGCTTCTGTGGTGTCTCCCCCAATATACTTCTACTCTCTTTTCAGATTTTCACATTTATGCTTTTGTGGTCCTGTAAGCTTGGATTCTGTAACATACTGAAACGCATGGAACTTATGGGATCCACACTGAAGTCTAAATCTACCTGACAACAGTGTTATGCCATCTCTTACACTAAGGACTACACATTGTTGCTAAATTAAGGAAACTTGAACAAAAACACTATAGAAGAAAATGTATTTTATAAACATACACTTACATACCTCTGCTAGGAGGGGCTGAAAGGTCAGTATGTCTAACTGCTGTTCCACACATTTTCTTAACTCATCYGGTATAGTATAATGTGGGAGAAAGTTTGAACACCATCTTCTTTTACTACTAAAACAAAAACATATGACATATCACTTAGCTTTCTCAAGTAATGTTATGCGAAAAACAGCTAATTAACATGCCACATCACCAAGGCTATGCACCCATAAAATACACACACAAAGAACAGATTAATGACTCCTTCAAAGGGACAATTGAGAAGTTTGTTACACTGGGAAGAAAGGTAAGTGATATAGTGACCAGGACCTCGGGGAATGGCATGAAGCTGGGTCAGGAGAGGCAGAAGTTGGATATTAGGAACAGATTCTTCATCCAGAGTGTGGTTGGGCACTGAAACAGGCWCTCCAGGGAAGTGGTCATAGCCCCAACCCTAACAAGAGGTAGGAAGAATTTGGAAAAAGCATTCAGGCACATGGTGYGATTCATGATGTGGTTCTGTGCAGGGACAGGAGTTGGACTCAATGATCCTTACGGGTCCCTTTCAACTCCGGCTATTCTACAGTAAGGGTTCCACCTACAGATTATTTGAAAACACTGTGTTTCTGCCTTTTCAGCATAGGCATATCTTTGTAAATAAGCAAATACTGTAAGTATAATAGAAGCTTATTTGCAAAACACAAGYTTTGAATAAAAGATAAGAGACATTAGTCACATGCGGACATTAAAGTTGCGCAAAGAAATAAGAAGCTTATTATCTCAGAAACCTGTTTTCAGTTTCCCATCTTATTCTTAACAACACAGTTGTTGCTTGTAGATAAYTAAGCAACAGTGTTTTATCTTATTACCACATCACACATAAGAGATTCTCTTTGAAAAATCTAAAAAGGAATCAAGCAGTTAATTACTGAAACAGCCTCTTCTATAAGCAGTGTCCACAATCAWCTTGCTTATGACATACATATACATACATAAACATGAACAAATTCTTCCAGTTTCACATTTTCTTTGCCAGCATTACAGAAMAGATACAGCACTACCAAATAGAGCAGTGTTAGGTAAGCGTTATTTTACACTCTAAATGACAGTACCTTTTTTGTTTAGGGCCAGCCACTGTTGTCTTCCTTGGCTGAGAATCTGGAATAATTTTAGGCTTTCTTGGAGAAAAAGGTTGTACAGGTGCTATAAGCAATTCTTCTTCATTTGTTACAGTGGCTTCAATATAGCGGCCAACAGTAAAATCAGAAAAGCCAAGCAACAGGAGCTCTTTACTGTGTCCGTGAATCCTTTAAGTAAACAGAAGTTATCTTCTAAAAACCAGCATGTTCACACTTCATTTTCCTCAGCCACAAGACAGATTCTCATTTCAGTTACATAAGAGAATTGCTAATTTAGGGTAATTCCTCACACTTGCTCCCCACCTCGAGTTCAATCCAGTTATCATAAATAATTTAAAACCCCAACCAACAAACTCCAACCCAAAACCACAGTAAAAACCTCAACSCCAAATTTTCTTCAAAACCTTGGGTTAAGAGCAAAATCCCTCCACCCAATATACTAGAGTACAGAATTAATACTTCTGTCCCAAAGAACATCCTGGAATTACTGCTACYGAAAAAACATGAGCCAAACAGCTCCATCAGAGGAACCTGAAGCAAATCCCTTCAGGGTCTGCAGCAACAGCTTTGCAGCACCTTGCCTAAGGCTATTCAGAACAGAAGCCTAACTGCAAACACATGGAGAAAGTAGGAAAAATCCTTTAATTCTGAAAAACATACTTTATATGTTCAAGTGTTGCTTGGGGAAAAACAGGGAAAAACCAGGAGGGAAAGGTTTCTTCAGATTGGTTTCTAAGAAAAGCTCTACTACAGTGCCATTGTCTAACTACATGGTCCAACACTGCTACAACGCACCTGAAACAAATGCATCCCAGGATTCCAGCTCACCTTCCCTTTGGCAGAAGAACCACTTTTTTAAGTTTTGCCAACTAACACTACCTGCCCAGGTTAAAACTATGAACTGGCTTTCTCTGATACAAAAATCAAAACAGACACTGAAGTGTCCAAATTTATGGTCTAAATTTGCCTTCTCTATGGTGTTTTAAGTGGCCAGCAAACACTTGTTAACTTCATGCTGCAACCTCCCATGGACTTTAGTGTGAATTATTCTGTATTATGAGAAGATTCTAAGACTTTGTGGCTTTTACAGATTTACATTGAAATATAAATCGTTCGTTCTACATGTCTTATCTCCACAAAGGCAATAAATGAAATGAATGACAGAGCTCATGTAAAGCCACTTTCCACTCTTAAATAAAGTATAAAATATTTTGCACAGCAGAATGTTTTTTRTTTTTCAAGGGTTTTCTAAGACTTGCAAAACCACTTCCTCTGTGAATTACACCTTCAATGAAGAATGAAAAAACTTTCTCATTTCAGCACACATACCTTGAATTTCCTATCACAGAACAGGAAAGTTTAAGATCAGGGCATGTGGCAATAGAAGATACTAAAGAGTAAAAGAAACGTATCAGATACAACACAGCAATTTCAAGACATCTGCATTAGCTGTAGTGCTCACAGAGCAATGGATTTCCTACAAAGAATATATCCACCTGTAGGCATTATCTTTACCTCACTGGGTCATTTTAGGGATGGTATGTTCTCTGACTAATATCGCTTCATTAAGTACTACCATTTCTTCCAATTAAAATTCAGCATCAAGCACTAAAATGGTAACTACTTTCAAAGTAGTTGGGCAGCTTTTCTAACACAGGTTTACAAATAAATTGCTARTAAGTATTGGCTAATATTACACTATACCACGTGCTGGTTTTGACTGGGGCAGTTTTCTTCATAGTAGTTAGCATGGGGCTCTGGTTTGGATATGTGCTGAAAAATGTGTTTATAGCATAGGGATGTTTTGACTGTGCTGAAAAGGGCTTACACAGAGTCAAGGCCTTTTCCCCTTGTCATACTACCCCACCAGCAAGAAGGGTAGGGTTRCACAAGGAGTTGGAAGGGGACACAGTCCGAACAGCTGACCCCAGCTGACTCAAGAGGTCAGACCATGTGGCATCATGTTCAGCATATAAAGCTGGGGGAAGAGGAGAGGACATTCTGAGTGTTGGCATTTGTCATCCCAAGTCACCATCGTATGTGATGGAGATCTGCTGTCCTGGGGATGTCTGAACACCTGCCTCACCACGGGAAGTGGTGAACGAATTCCTTGTTTTACTTTGCTTGTGTTCGTGGCTTTTGCTTTTCCCAATCAACTATGAGTTTTGTCACTTTTACTCTTCCCATTGTCTCTGCTGTTCCACTASAATGAATGAGCCAGCGCCTGAATGGTCATTAGTTGCCAGCTGTGGATAAAGCACAACATTCCGAGAACTATGCCCAGAATAAGGGAAGTAAGAAGTCTATTTTCATTACTTGTTGCCATTATATTGATTAGAAATAAYGGAAATAAATACTTACACAGCTGTACATATGATCACTACAAAAATTTTTCCGCCTGGTGGTACCACAATTTCTGCAGTAATACTGCTGTGCTTAATTGGTTGCTCCACATGGCCATTTTCTTCACTCCCTCCATTCTGTAGTTTTTCATCCTTCACCAAGGAAATGTTTTCTTCTGTCCTTGACAAATTTGTGTCTTGAAAATACATTCCTTCTGTAAACATATGTAAACATATCATAATAAATTTTGTTATCACAATTTCTACTGCTAACATAGGCAACTCTTCTCCAATAAACCTACTGGTCTTCTGAGGAGCTTACATTCAGAACTCAAACGTTAACATTTCACTGTACCTGGAATGACTCCATTTTTCATAATGGATGTATGGTTCAATGACTCATGTGTTGTTCCTCCACTGTTGCTACATGAATTAACTGCAGCTTTTGAGAGGTTTTCTTGATTTATTGGAAAAGATGGCAGATATTCTTCTGGAGTGTTCTCACATTTTTGAGGAATCTCAACACTGAATTGCTTGTCTTTCACCCATCCAGCTAATCTGCAGCTGATTAAGGATTGTGGTACACTCCCTTTGTTCCTAGAAGTAGTTATGTAATTAGTTACCTAATTAAGTGCATTGAGAAGTTTAATTCTACCAATTGTCTGTAGCAGGTTAGTTCACCCTTATTTCGTAACTGCTATCAGAAAGAAATTGCACTGCTCCTTCTAACTCATGAGGACAAGAACCTCTGCTTTATGTTAATATTTCTAGGCCACATCAACTACCAGATAAAGCATAGAAAAATACAGTGTGTAATAAAAACCTATGGGAGCTTAAAAATATAGATATAAATATAGATATAGACAGAGCATACAAAAATACAGTGTGTAATAAAAACCTATGGGAGCTTAAAATTCACCACTGGGTAACTAACTCATAGGAAAGAACACAAAACAACAAATAATGGCTATTCAGGTCTTCATTTAAGCCTTTATGCCCAAATGTGAAAGAGAAAACGCACACACAGAAAGAAAGAAAAAAACATACAACCAAAAACCCCCCAAGGATACACCAACACAGTTCTTCAGTACCCAAGTCTATGAAAAAAAAACCCCACAAAAAATCTGGTCAGCTTTCAATACATGAGTATGAAACAGTCCTCTTGCTCTAAGATTTTGAAGATGGTAGAGTATCTGCAGTTTAAATTAAACACAAAAGTAAAATCTTTTACTTMAATCCTCATTCTAAAAAGGATTTTACTAGGATTGAAAACATATATAGAATTGGGGAGTCTCAAAGCACTATCTGTAAGATAAATGCTCAGTATCAAAAAGGCTATCCTACAGACATTAAACTGAGCATGAAAKTCTGTACAATTCCATAGTATCTGGAGGTTACTTGGAGATCACAAACCACAAGCTTCCACTAGAAGAGGCTTCTGTGTGTAAGACAGATTAACAGACTGCAGTGACTGAAACAAAGTCTTCAATCAGAAAGGCTTACTCTATCCAAATGATCATTCTTTTAGATTCCCCCTGCTTCAGAGTTCCAAAATTAGTCATTCTTGATACRTTCAACTCTCCTTTGTCTCTCATTAAGTCTTCATAAGGCTCATCCATATTAGCTCCATTAGAGTGAGATTGTCTGTAAAAATAATTTCAGGTGGCAGCTTTTAAACACTTATAGGCTCAACAAATACTTTTGATTCAGCACAAGTTAAAGAAACACTTTACCAAAGCATAGTCACAATACTTCGAAAGAAGCAGGTGAGAGTTCATTTTGTTCTAAGCCATTAATACTTCCAAGAGAATTTGATTAACTTCACTAATTTAAGCAGCAATAAGTCTTTTGTCAGCAGCACAACAAATCAGCATAAAACTTTGGATGCAAGACTAAAATGATTGAAAAGTTAACTAATCTGCTGAGGAGCTGAATCAAATGGTGAGTGTGAAGTCATTATGGCTCTCTCTGGGAGCTGAACAAAGACACAGCCAAGAGCAGCTCCATAGCAAGAGTCATGACTACCAGGGCAGCTAAGAGATGAAATGACTAGATTGGAAGTATTTCAACCTATCTTCTATCATCTGCTCACTGTTTCAATATGAAAGCAGCAAGCTGAAAACAAAGAACAGYAAAAACCCAAAAAGTACCCTTGAAGACTTCTATCACATATGACTGATGAAAAATGCCTATGAGACCAGGCACGTGCTCTTTCCTGTCTGAAACACTCAGCAAAGGTCTAATCCCTTGGTGTCTTCTACCTGTATAAATTTTTACATGGTTTCTGATCTGTAATTAAGAAACTCTTCATTTAGATAAAGTGTCATGGAAATAACTTAGAAACATTTTAACAATCTCACCAATACATACACACCATTATTACTCCTGAGTTATATGACATAACGAAGTAGAAAATGAGTGCAGCTGCTTTTCATTAGTTACATCAATTTACTAGCCAAACCCACTAGATGTCTCCCACTGCAGCTTAAGCTACAGTTTTTGATCTGGTAGGATGTACACTAAATTGGAGAAATCCACCCTAAGGTCTACTTTTGCAATCTGGCTTTAGTAATAATTTTTCTGTATAAAATCCATCATTAAAAATAGGTGCATCTGAAAAAAAAATGAGCAATTTGTACTGCTTTGCAAAATTATGTAAAAACTTCAAGTATCATTTAATTTATTATATCTTATCTCTAGAAAAAACCCAGCATATTCCATTCTTTATAGATCCTTTGAAGATATATATACTGCCTTTGGCTAAATTTTCTTGAGATCTCCCAAAGATTATGTTTGAAAGAGATCAGAATATCCTTTTGCTCTCCCCTTTGGACTTTCCAATTGATTGACAATTTATTTGCAGCCTGCAGAATTAGACTCTGTAATCCTGCCAAAACCTCAGCATGTCAAGAGATAGGTTTTACAGGTAATACATCTATTTATTTAGGTGGTAATTGTGTCTTTCACAAGACAGACACTTAACTCACAAGTCAAATTCCAGAGGTGCTGAGGTTTWTTACTGACTAGTTGCCCATTTTATATTTGTGTAGTTGATTATTTCACTAAGTTTTGCTTYTTCTCCATACTGAACATTATCTACTTTTTCCAACCTCTTTTGCAGTCTGTCCAGATCCTCCTTGCATCACATAAAACATCTAAAGTGCCTGCAGAACCTCGCAGTTCAATGCTTGCAAGCCCAATGAATCTCTATTATTTAGATAATAAACTTTTCCTTTTAGGACAGATATCTGAACAATCACTGTAACTTAAGTAAAATGGATYAAAGAAACATAAATTTTACATGAGTTTTGCTGAGAATTGTTTTCAAAGTGAAGTCCCTACTAGAGAAGCACAATTTAGAAGAAACCCATGAACCTGGCATTTTTCTAATATGCATGCAAAACTCCCTCCCTGCYTAGCAATATCCTTAAGCTAAGCTGCTGCTCTGTTTTGCTTCTCTAGTAAGCACTCATGTTCCCACCCTCTGGAAGGAGAAAAAMAACAAGAGCCAAATCATATAATGCTGGTTTTTCCAATGGTCTATTATGCCTTCTAGTCAACTATGGAAATATTCACAGCATTTTTTGCTTAACAGATGCAATGAAATGTAAACTGCATAATACACTATGTGTCTTTTATATAAAGCATGAAATAACATTACCCATCCTGGCTGACTGGCACCAAGCAGAGAGCTCTCCAAATGTAACAGGATTGACTGCTCTCCACCACAATTGTGTTCACTAGATCATGTCTACGAGGTGAATAACCATCAGGAAGTCTCAGTGAATCCAAGGTAAAAAATATACTGTCATCTACTGTCCCAGTTCTTCCACAGATGCTGGAAATGCGAACCTGTAACAGTTTGTATTCACTTTTACTTGATTTTATCTTAAGCTAACAGACATACTAACATTGCCTATTTTTTTCCACTGAAACAGCCTGTCTAGCATTAATAAAAATGCATTCTGAAATTTCAGTTATTCACAGGAGGTAAACACAGAGCTCTAACCCAGAAACACTGTGCTTGTCTTCAGATTTAGAAATGTAAATAACAACRGGTACCTCAGATAAGCATTAAGTTCTACTGAAGTGCATACTACCATATGCACASTTGACTTAAAGATGACACCTTTCCTGTGATGAATCAATTTATCTAATTTATACTTTCATACTAGGAGTAACAAGAACGTTTTTTCCTATSCTTGACATGCAAATATTCAACATATAGTTACGACAAAGACAATAAACCACAAACCTAGCATAGCATATGCATTACTAGAGTGAACAAATACTTTCATTAAATAAAAWAAAGAACMGYGGCTGTTTTTAAGMCAAAACACTTGAACAAATTAAATGYAATAAATTCTCCAGTCATTACAAATCCTCATTATAACCAMCAGTAAGCATTCAAATCAGAATTCATAACAGATAAGTTAMTCTTCCTGTTCAACCCAAAAATGTGCATTTTCAAAATGCCTTGCTATTTTAGAAACATCCTCTAAATTGATACATGCTATCTTTTAAAGATGTGTTATAGAAGATATACCAATAYTTGTAATTGAAACCAACTCAAAACCTCACTTCATCCAAGATTTCTCTTGCCAAAAACAATGTGCAGAACATTTACCTTGTTTACTTGTTTATACCTCAAAGGCCTTACAGCAACTGCTTCGCTCTTCCATGTTGCCGAGTTAATAAAATATTTTGCTTGCACCCAGTCACCTTCACAAGGTTTGAAATCTACACAAAACAGAACATTTCTCAAGGGTAATTACTATTGATAACATTTACATGACTCCCCTACAGAACTAGCCTATGTTAACTAAAATCCAGAACAATGCATTATTCAGACCCACTGAGTCCGAMGTTCTCTTTGCAGTCCTTCACCTTACATGTTATGACAAACCATATAAGAGATGCTAGAGGAAACACAAACTTGTTTACATGTAACTTATGCTCAAATGCAGGTCATGCTCAGTGAGAATGAATAGCAGATTTCTTCATCCATGTATGGCTGTTTTACTCTGTTTCACTGCATTCTATTAGAATTTATTTGGGATGACAACTGCAAGTTTATCAGAAGGTATCTCTAATGTACACACAAAAATATTAAAAAGTCCTTACACACCTTCCCAGACGTCTTGCATTGCAAAGTAAGTATTCTGATTAATATAGCCGCCATCCGCAGAGAGAGAGGTAATACTACCAATTAACGTTTTCCTATTTAGTTCAGARGCATCACAAGTAAGACTGGAGACTTCTTGCGTATTCTGGATGGTGTCTACCTATTAATAYAAAAGTAACCCCAACATTTAAACAGCTGATACTTGGAATTAAACATATATTCCTACAATAAATATACAGAATTTCAATTGCTAATGAAGGCAAAGCTTGTTAGAAAATTATTTACTCACTRTAGCTTTTACCTTTTGTACACAAAATCGGTGAGTAATAAACAGTAACTTTTCTTTTAAAGAGTGCTATATGCTGCAGTGTTGACAACTACTATAATTACATGCTGATTTTTCAAATMTTTCTCACACATCCCTTGATTTAGGTCTACTTAAGAATTTTCTTCATATTGACAAGAGGACCACCCTCAGCAATGTGACCATACATAACTGGAACTAGAAAATTACTATTTCAGAAAGMAAAAAACATGTTTTCAAGATGGTATTTAAAAACACTGTATGTATATCAGACAGACCCTCTGCCATTTTTAATAATTTAAGAAAACCCCTACAGCTGCTTCTTACAGACTCTCCATATCACCACCTCACATGTAAGTTCAGTGAYGTCTGATCCAATCTGAAGTAACCTAACATACTAATTTTCACATTATTTTGTTGAACATAATGCTTAACCCTTTTTGATAATAATAAATAGCCTATGTATACCCACACTTCAGAGGTTTGCARACGCTACAATTGACTATATATAGCTATTTATTTTTTGTCAATACTGTTTAAAAATTTTTAAAAAAATCTATGTTTTGCTCTAGTCTGACAGACATCTTCACATTCACCAAGAAGATCTGAGAAGCCTTCTCTATTCATTCTTAGAACATGAATAAGCAAACTGTTCCTCAGAAGACTAGTAAATATATATTTCATGTAAATTACACATGGAGTTATACTTCAAAGTAATTTGAAAACAACTTAAAACTCCCAACATACGTTTTCTTTTCATTCTTTTCTCAATTTTTCTCTACCAATAAAACAGTGAAGTTCTTCCTCATACTAAGAAAAACCTTCCTATTGTCTCTGGTAGCAGCCTGATTCTAAAGCCTGCTACAGAATCTATACTCATTTCATTATAGAGTTTCATTAGGACTTGACCTCAAATAAATTGAAATCCAGACAAAATTTTGAGCCAGCTTCTTTCCAAAACACATGGCCAGTAGCTCCAAACATCAGCTGAAACAGTACTCTGAGAAGAGAGCTACCCAAGGCTGACCACACTCTTTCTTAAAGCAAATAACATGAACACTGACACCACTGAATTTTAAACTGCGCCTCCCAGATTCTCCTGAAAACTGCATGTTGGCAGTGTCCAGGCTGCAGAGCTTGTACTCCTGCCTGCAATTAGAAGAGTACCTTTTAGATCACTTAAAGCCCAAAGTTAAGTGGTAATGTATCAGTTACTTGGAAGGAGACAGTACTGGTATCCAAGCATCATTTTGTATAGTATTTAATAATTATGTTTGTCAGAAACAATTATGTTTGTCTCATCTGACTAGGAGTTTAAAAAGGAACTTAGCTTTTCACCATCCAAGATAACTACAATTCAAATATTGTTGTTCTTATCAGATGTTCAGAGTATCTCAAGTTTGTGCCACTTACGGAAAGTAACACAACACATCATAAAGSACAGAATAGTTTAGATTTATGTTCTTAGAACAGACTTTGGAGAAAGGAGCTTTTTCTGCTTGCTTATTGAATCAAGACTGCCCTTGGACTTTGACTTTCTAAGGAGTACAGTTAGCTTTTGACATAAACTCATCTCTAAGCTTTTCACCCAGCCACAAACTACATTGCCAACAGTTTGAGATGCCTGCAGGATTACAGCTCACAAAAGGAATAAGATAAATCACCACATTATTTAAAAAAAAAAGTACTTTTGAAAATGCCATTATCTAGAACATACTTCAAAACATGCCACAACTGCTAAAATATTTTAGTTACTTTGTACATCCATATGCAGTTTCTCAGTTACCAGGTTTATGTATTTTGGAGCAATGGCAATATTTCAACAGTATGGTGAAAGCTGTCAGTCAGATGAAAAAAAAGGAAGGAGAAGTAAGATTTAAATTAATCCATTTTCTGACTGTGTGTGAGTACTGTTTTACCAAACAGCACTGAAATTACTTTCTTGCATAAAAACTAAACATTGTTTGTTCAACAAGTAATTTAAATTTAAAAAAGGGAAATGAAAGGAAATGAGGAGACGTATGGTTATCTTACAAGACAGTAGTGTTTTAATAGCACTAGAGCCAGTAATACTTTAGAAATAAGACTTCCCCTCCACTTTCTTTCTATGTTTAATTTTGGATCACAATATAAAACTATTTCCTCACCAAGTCTTTCTTTGATTTTATTTAACCAATGAAGCAACATTTGGTTTCAACATGAAATGGATTTGCTAAGAAAAACTCCCCTCAAAATTTGTGACAAGGCATAATCCACCTTGAAATAAGTTTACAAATGAAGTATTAAGCAAGAAAGGGAGCAAAACCTCCATCTTCATAACTGTAAGCAAGAAAGGGAGCAAAACCTCCATCTTCATAACTGTCTATAACATTAAGTTATAACCAATTTTTACAATCAGAAGTTTTGAAATTTCTATTCTTATTCACAAGAACATAATTTACTTCTGTGCAAAAAGAGCAAACATTTTGCACATCAAACTACTTTGGTTTTTTCTATTTATACAACAGTAACAAAACTGACTGTGAAACTCAGAAAAGTTATACAGATTTGGAGTATGACTAAAATTCTRATGCAATTATCTCACCTAATAGCTTCATATTCACTATATCTACACCTATATTCAAAGAATCAGTATTAAACATAATTTGAAAGGAGATGGAATAAAATAATAAAACAACGCACAAAACCCAACTTATCGCCACTAGGTGAAAGACTTGCAATTTCTGCTGTTTTGTAGAATTTGTGAGGCTAAAACTACAGCAACTTCCGAAACAAAGCCTCAAGGTACTCATGGAGAAAGTGAGACTTCCATTTATCTTCACCTCTTACCCTGACAGCCTTCAGGCCACCCGATGTTTTATCCTCTTCCACAGTGGCAGTAACTTCTTGTCCAATAGCCAGCAACATGTTTTTTGTAACAACATCCTTTGAGAAGACTATCATGTCATCTATCATCCCATAATCATGGCAAAGTCTTGTCACTACTCCTTGTACCCTTTTCAGTTCCTTATCACCTGCATCAAAAGGAAAAGTGTTGACAAACTCAAATCACTCATTTACAGAACTCTGAAAAATTAGTTGTGAATGCTACTAAAAGGAGCCTCTGTTCTTTTAAAAAATCAACCGAAAATAGCAACAGCTGCCAACTAATTATTGTCACAATCTTTAGGTTTTGTGGCATTTATGGTTTTGAGCAGTTAATAAAACTAGTTAAATACAATCTRCATTTAAAAACATGCTTTAAGCTGCATAAAAATAATAAAAATCACAGAATATCTCACACTGAAAGAGACCCATAAGGTTCATGGAGTCTAACTCCCTGAACCTTACCGGATTACCTAAAACTAACCAATATGATTCAATGCATCATCCAGATGTTCCTTGAACTCTGACAGGCTTTGTGCCATGACCACTCCCCGTGGAAGCCTGTTCCAGTGACTGACCACCCTCCCATGAAGAGCCTTTTCCCACTGTCCAATCTGAACYTCCCCTGAYGCAGCTTCCTTCCATTTCCTTGTGTCCTGTCACTGGTCCTCAGTGAGAGGAGACCGGYACCCCCCCATCCCACCACAAAGGGTCGACTGCCATGAGGTCACACCTCAGCCTTCTCTTCTCCAAAATGAATAAGCCAAGTTGACCTCAGCACTCCTCCTCAGTCATGCCTCCAGACCTTTCACCATATTCTTCAGCCTCCACTGGACCCACTATAATGATTTGATGTAGTTATTTCTYATATTGAGGTATCTCAAACTGCACACAGGACTTGWGGTGAGGCCACACCAGTGAGGAGCAGAGCAGGACAATCCCCTCCCKCTACCAGCCAATGATGCTGTGCCTGATACACCCCAGGACACAGCTGGCACTCCTGGCTGCCARGGCACTGCTGCCTCATGTCCAACTTGCCATTCATCCAAGCTCCCAGATCTCACTCTACATTCACAGTCAAGACAAAACTTTTTTTTTAGTTTAAGATTCCATAAACATGAAAAGGCACTTCTTGCTACATTGAATAATGTTTCTAGCATTCCTGAATGCACATAATTTTGAAATATGAAAGCTACACTATCATCTCCATTCTACAGCCCAAGTAAAATGAATGTTTATTTATTAAGACAGGAGCACAAGGGAAAGCCAAAGCTTCATCACAACACTTCTACACCTCRCTCAATACTGTAAACAGCAACCTGTCCCACCCAGAAGGCCGCAAAAAAAGTGCTTCTGGGAAAACTGCCATATGCTCTGAAGTCAAAACGGTGCCTTATAATCTCCATCTTCTCCTTACTTCCTTTCTCAAGGAAACAGGTCTGCAYTCAGCCCCACTCAGGTGGGGGACGACCACACCTCACGGTTCAGGAGCTGCACCACAAAGCCACAATCAGCCCTGAATTCCTACCTGAGGGTGCCCATCGCTCATCTTCGCCTTCTGCACGTCTCCAGAAGTAGGAGAGCGCCTTCGAAAAGAGACAGAGCATCCCGGAGTGCCTTACGAAGAGTCAGAGTCTCCAGGACCGCGTTAGAAAYGCGCCGGAGCCCCGCAGAGCTCACGAGGCCGGAGCGCGCACTCTCCTTCAGGGGCGTCTCACGCGCCCGCCGCCGCGGCCAATGGCGCTGCGCGCTCCGGGTCACGGGGCCGCGCCACGCGCCTCGGGGTCGCCCGCGGGCCCGGGCAGGGGCCGCCCTCAGCGCAGCCGGCAGCGAGCCGGGGGGCGTCAGCTGGCAGGGCTTCAGGGCTCGGCGAAAATGGTATCACACATGGTTACCACAGGAAAGCTTAAAGCAAAGCGGTGCGTGCAGCCTGTTGCGTGCTGGTGATGCTGTCGGAAATTGTGCTCGTAGCGTGTAATAGCGTTTGACGCCAGGACCAGGGAAAACCCACCGACAGGCTGTCACCTGCTCTGGCCTAAGAGCTCTCCTTGCGCTTACGTAGCCCAGAGAATAAGCCAGGCGTCCTTCCAGTGTCGTAAAACGAAGCGGATCGGAAGAATATGTACGTGCAAATGACGTATTGATGGATTGCAATGCTCTCGGTACCAGCCGGTATCATCCTCAAAATGATAGGATAAACTCTTGAACGTGATGAACTTGGCTAACAGGAAGAAAATGAATTTTTGGTCTTAATATCATTGCTGAAGAAGCTGTTGTAGTCCTAGAGGAAATACAATTTTTCTGACTTTCTTACTTTCTCTCTAGTTCATTCTTTTGTCAGTTCTCCTCACGTAGTGCACTTCCGGTCTCTTATATGAGCCCTCTTAGCATTTTGTTTRACAAATACTGTTTCACGAAGCGTAGTTTTTGAGTTGACAAGYTCAGCATCTCAGTAGTTTCAAAAGGAACTGCCATACTGTTGCAGGAGGTGGTTTCACGAGATTGTGCAAGGCGGTGTGTACTTTTTAGTAGAAAAACACGGAATACACTGCCTAAGTTGTGACCAAAGCAGCAGTTATCTTGAGCAACTTTTTAGTTTCTACTTCTATGGTTCACTCAGTGTTACTTAGCAAAGAAGGGCTAGGAATGCATTTCAGGTGCTTTTACTCTTTACATTAGAGTTCTATACAGTTCCTAGCAGGATGAATTCTGGTTGCCAGTAAGTGCACATAGGTTCCAGTGTCTCATYCTGAAGTAAATGGGATCGTGCTATTGGAAGGAGAAACATGTATGAGTGTCTGTAGTCAGTGCTGTTTTTAGAAAAGTGCTGAAAGAGTGTTTGCCTCTTTTTGATACATTGATTTAAAGAATTTTAACTACTGTGTTCTTTCACTGAGATTCCCGTGGCGTGCAGGTAGGGAATTTTTAGCTGGCAAAAATGTGATGGATGCAGAAACRGTGCTTTATGGAGCAGTTGATGGTTCACATTAATGACTAAATCCAAAGAAGTTTGTATTGCACCGGGGGAGCAAATATTATTCCAGGGGAGAAAGACATCAGTTTGAAGCTACTTGATCTTCATTTTTGCCTTGGCTCAGTACATGCCCCAAGATGTGATCTAGGAAACAATGGACTGAGGAATCAGCTTCAGAGAAACAAAATTCTTCAAAGAACTGATTTTAAAAGATGTGAAAATATTGAACGAGGAATGCAGGTATGAGCTAAAATAGTGTAATTAAATATTGTGTGAAATAATACAAGTGTAATGCAGCGCATAACTCATCAGAAAATGGAAGAGCTGGTCAGGATGGTAAAYGTAAATTTCCCCAGAGCTTCAGATGTGGTTTTCATTTAGATTTGGGAAAACRTGTATGAACCTTTGTTCAGTGCTAGGGAACCTGGCCCTGGACAGAATGCTTTTTMTTACTCTTTGATAGCAAAAGTGGGACAATGACAAGTTTATATACCTTTTTGCTACACTACAGCTTGGCACTCAAGTTACAATCGTTAATCTGTTTTTTATATTTTGTGGTTACTGCAGGGGATACTTGGCATTACATGCCTGTGCCGARTGATTGACTATCTGCTATAGCTGCTTCAGGTGGCTGAATTTGTTCAGTGGTCATTCCTGTGGTGGAAGTACATAGTTCTTCATAGCTGCTCCCAATTTGATTTGATTGTCATTCCTTTACATCTTTTGGCCTGACTTAGAATTAAGACACTTTGGCTTCTTAAAAGGATTTACAGATTATCATGTTGTGTTGGAATTGTTATACTTGCTGCAGTCTTTGTGTAGGTTTTCTATGCATTCTTTTGAATTAGGAGGAATCTCTTTGTACAGCACATTTGTACCTTATCTAGCATTATAAGGTCTTAGCCAGCCACTTGGGTTCTTCTTACCAGATCTTGCCTTGTAGTTGTGTGTACACGAAATAGGGAGTTTTTCTGGAATCAGGAATATGAATTGAAGGGGACCTAAAATAAAGGCCCCAGAAAATTTTTAGAGTGGAAACTGAAATTTGAAGTTTAAGTGATTTTGTTGGTGCTGATGCCAAGTGCAGAAGATAGAGTAATTGTATGAAGAACCTCTGTGTAAAAGGGAAATACTGAGAAGTGCACAGGAAAGGGGGTAGSAGGAATTTCACTATAACGAGGGAAAACACTGTAATACCATGCTTGAGAGAGGAAACTTTCAGATACAATACTGGCTCAAACACTTGGAATTGTGAGCAAATTGTTCTAAGGTTTGAACTCTGCTCTGGTCAGTGGTGCAGGATTTTATAAAGTCTTTCTATTCAAAGAGATTAGATGAAGTAAATACCTGAATATCTCACCAATTTTGTGTGGAAAAAACCCCAAACCTTCTCCCTAAATCATTCAAAAGGGTTAAAATATSATTGTGTTTTGTATCTGTAGTGATTTTTTTAGAGTAAATCAGTACCTAGTATTCACTGAAATTGCTGTCAGGTAAGCAATACCTGTTTTACATTAAACCATAATCTTTGGAAAGTTACAGATAATGGAAATAGTTGTGCAGTATTTCTTCTGTGAACAGAGGAACAGAAGGGCGTAATTACTTAAGATGGTTTTACTTAACTGTACAGTCTTCCCCCTCCCCCCSTTTCTAGCACCATTTACAGATGCATCTATTGCTGTGTATAGTGCATTAATTTGCTTGTTTMAATCTATTTAAACAACTGTAACATTTTAATATTCTTTCAGTATTCGCTGACATTATGAAAAAAAGAAAATCTACAGTCTGTACAAACTGAGAAGTTGTGCTGTTTAGAAGTTTTTCTAGCATACTTTGAAGGTGATGCCCTTCAGAATACTGAAGATTTAATTGTGTCTTGGTTACAAGAGTGTTTAAAGTTTAGACAAAAGACCCTGTCATTGCTGCAGCTGTCAAGGTGCCAGCATCTTCAAGATAAAAACGTCCCTTTTTTCCCCTGCTTTTCAYTGCCTAATAAGCAGGCGGACTGGATCCAACGTACGCTGGCCATTGCATGTCACTGCTGCCTGCTAGATTTAAAATATGTTGTTTAGTCATCTGGGTGTTCTGTAAGTACAATGACAGTGTGATTGAAGTGTACGGGGTTTATCTGAACACTCCAGAAGACTGGGGCTAGTAGAAAAAGATG